GCACGCACGCACGCACGCACGCACACACGCACGTACGCACGCACACACGCACGCACGCACGCACGCACGCACGCACACACTCACACGCACGCACGCACGCGGGGTCTGACGAACGATCATGAGAGAGGCAGGAGAAGTTTAAAGCGGTGCGAGAGACACAACAACGTCGGTACTGCTCTAAATCGTCGCTCTTTCTCTCCGCAGAGACAAGACGCGCTGGATGATCAATCAATGTCGTGACGGACTTGGAGGTGTCAACCTAGGTCGTTGACAACGCCTCGCGGCAGGACGATGCGCGACAATTACCTTCCCGCTGCGATAGCTCGGCGTAAACAGGACCCGCCTGCCTTGCTCGACACTACAGATATACATGCGTCGTATATGGGACGCTATCAGGAGTCTATAACATCGACTCTATATTATACACGCCTTGGAAGTATGTGTGTTGTTACTAGCGGAAAAACTTGCCTTTCTTCGGTGTCCGTCGAAACCCTAACCAATGACCATATCCGGACTATAATCCGGAATCCGTTTCTGCTGTGCTTTCCCCGGATTCCTCCAGCAAGCTAACCTCCCGTTGCTTTTCCTTCAGTTCAGATCTTTTCCATTTCCGTCAGAGATCAACCCTTGCACAATATTTCACACAGGGTTCAAACACTGTATAGGTCTCACAACGGTTAAAACCACTCGCACTTTCCACCAGGGTTATAGCGTCATAAACAAAGAGTCTCAGGGTTCAGCCGTGTACACTGACCACCTAAGGTTATACCTCGCACAGTGGTTATACCAACGCTATGACCAGGCGCAGTGTTCACCAAGAGTTAATACCTCATGCACTCACACCTCGCTCAGTGTATACAAGGGATAAAAGAATATACGCATTGTTCGTCAATGTTAATCAGATTTCAAACCTTACACAGTGTTCGCCTGAGATCAAGCCTTGCTGAATTCTATTAGTGCAGCATTTGAGTCTCACAGAGTTTTTCCACCAGAGCTCAAGTCTCACAAAGTTTTTCCACGAGGTCTCAAGTCTCACAGAGTTTTTCACAAGGGCTCAAGCCTTGCTGAATTTTTCACCAGAGTTCAAAGTTTCCTCCGTTTCCACTCAGTTAGTGAGCCGGCAAGCACAAGCGGCACAGGAAGACACAACATGTGGTTGTCACAAAGACCAGAACGATTGAACAGCGCACCCGCACAATGCCCGCTGCATTTTTTTTGCTGCGGGGTGGGAAGGGGAAATGAAACGTTTACCGCGAACCGCGCAAAGTAACCATGAGGAACCACTTGACCATTCGCTCGCTAACCACTATCTGAGTCAGGGCCCCACGAGGGGGCGTGCGTGTACGCGCGGGGGTACACTGATGGCGCCACCATCGCGCATACATCACGAACCGACACATCTCGCCGACGCAGCCGCCGACGACTAGATACCTCACTCCACGATCGGTGCGTCACACGCTACCTTCCCCCTCCTCCCGCCCACTCACCCCTGCAACGACAATAGTTAGGTCCACCTGCGCATTCCGGCCCGTGAGTAATGACAAGTGGGTAATTACAGGTGCTAATCACCGGGTGATGAAGCACGCTCGGCACGGGACTGACGCTACACCCGGGCCGCCACCGGAGCAAAGTTCAGCCGAGCACACGCACGTCGCTGTCCGCTGTCTGCTCTCCGCGACACACACACCCACACGCGCACGCACACGCGCGCACACACACACACACACACACACACACGCGCGCACGCACACACGCACACACGAACGCACGCACACACGCACACACACGCGCACGCACGCACACACGCGCACGCACACACGACTGACCTCTTGCCGGTGGTCATCTACAGGACAGTGTTGGAGTGGGCAAGCCGCTTGCGTGCGTCGACATCCCATAATTGCTCCATCGCCGTAACACCCAGGATGCCACCGACACGATCACAGTATTTACAGAAGCGCAGGGGTGGCATAGTGGAGCCGGTGGAGTGAGGTAGGTCGTGTAGAGGGCTGTGGGGGGAGGGGGGGAGGGTCCTGCGTGCTATACACTGCAGGGGGTCGCGCGTATTTCATCCCGTTGCGAAACCACGACGCAGGGTTAAGCATATTAACAGGAGTAAGATAATATAAGATCCTATATTATCTTACTCCTGATATTAAAATGGCGAATATATAAATATAGAATCCTATATTATCTTACTCCTGATATTAAAATGGCGAACATATCAATATAGGATCCTATATTATCTTACTCCTGATATTAAAATGGCGAATATATAAATATAGAATCCTATATTATCTTACTCCTGATATTAAAATGGCGAATATATAAATGAAGGATCCTATATTATCTTACTCCTGATATTAAAATGGCGCTCTTCAGAGAGACAAGGTTAATCCGATAGATGATTTTTAATAAAGTTCTCCTGCAACTCTGTTTTGCATCAGGCACGCACTTAGAAATACTTCACCGACCAGGACTCCTACTTTATGCTGGGACTGTTACGAGATCTTGCATGAACCCTTATAGTATCTGATTGAATAATTTCATCGGATCTCTATATTTCACATAAAAATCAAGTCGATCTTAGTTAGATCCAAAATGAGTTATAAATACTTACACTGACGAAATTTTCGTCCATCTCTCCGATAGACTTCCTCAAATTCCTTCTGGTATCTCTACATTTTCTACCGCGAGAAGTTTCCTTGGTAACTTTTCCGGTTCAGGCCTTCCTGATATACGATGATTGTTCCCTGAAATTTCATCGTTTTTTGCCCTGTAGCCGATTCACGTGCATAATGATACGGAAGTGACAGTTAATGTTTCAGATAATTAACTCTAACTATCCTGAGATGTTGAAAAGACACGTGCGAATTAAATACAACTATAGCGCTCGAATAATTGAGCAGGCATTTACTGCTAGCACGACTAACCGACATTTCAATGTTCCGGTCTACTTGTAGTATTTCAACACGTACGGTCCGACACGAAATCGCTATCATAATGTGCAAATTGCAGTGTGCGTCTGACGCGAAAATAAGAAACTGAAAAAGATTTGCCCCAGTTTGTTCTCGCCATTACTGACCAAGAACACTTACCGCGATGCAAGCGCGTGTAGTTACGTGTACGCTATACGGTGTTGGAGAAGTGGTACACCCCGCCTGATACAAGGCACGTGCGAGTATAAGTCACACGTCAAACTGTCACGTTGGGGAACATCACGTGTGACCACGTAGTTATGCAGCACAATACACGTAATAACTGCGGACGGATAACACCACTGATGAAATAGTACCAGGCCACTGGCCTGCATCGTGTCCGCCCACTTCATGGCCGAACTAATCTCATAGCAACATGTTGCTTTGTATGTTCGATTGCTTCGTTTAACTTTCGTTATGTTTAATTGGGTTATAAATAAGTTTAGAAGATGTTAACGAATGTTTAGTCATACGTGTAAAGTGTCTTTATATACATGTAGTGATGTCTAGTCAACATTTTAAACCGCAACATTTTAGATATAATCAGCGATTAGAAATGATCCGATCCCTCGCATGGTGTTAGTGGTTTCCGTTGCCCCCCCCCCTCACGAGGCCGTTAATTCTCTCCATACATGGCAACACCGCCCGGTGGGATATGAAATATGGCGGACCTCCATCCGCGTCATAATAGCTGCGATAGAACCTGAACTCGATTGTAATCACTATACTATCAGAAGTACTTCTGCTACTATGAATCTGTCCTCGTTATAAAAAAGACAGCATCGCCGGGATTTCGAGCGGAACATGATATTTCAACGACATCATGATATACGATATATATCAGGAGTAGATAATAGGGAAATTCCCTTCCTGATATCTACTCCTATTATCTACTCCTGATATATATCGTATATCATGATGTCGTTGAAATA